CACTCCCCTTGGTAAGACGGTCCAGCCTTCGGGCAGCAACGATAACATTGGGGCTCATCCTCTCGACGACAACCCATGGGAAGTCGTGACGTATCCGCCGAAGGAAATGGTCAACGTAGGCCTTGTTTGAGCGAGGGCCAGCGCCCTTCCATTGTCGCCCGAGCTCTTGTCGAAGCGATCGTCGCCCATGCTGCGTTTCGAGCATGCTGAGCCCGATGTCGATAGCGGCGGCCAACTAGACATACTTATCAGTTAAGGTCCGTGTTTACTTTACATTGGACATACCGTGCTGTAAGTCAAGGAACTAGCCTCTTGCGCAATACTCCGTGTCAACTCGAGATTCTCGAGGTGAATGGACAGAGCGCCAATGCCTCGTGGGTCGACCCTGACCGCATCTGCCGTCGTTTTCTCTCTCGATACGCAGCAGCAATGATGGGCCGGCCGACTCTGTTGCGGCGCGTAGTCATGCTTCGGAAGTCGAACAAGCTGAAGAGATTCATCCGGCTGCGGAGACGAGCGACGCCATCGTAGGGACATGTTGAAATCGAAGGTATTAAAAATACAGGATCCGGCCTGGAAACAATGAAAATTAGAATGAGAAATGTGAATGCACCAAGAGCTTGGAGTCGATTTTTACTGACAGAGGGAAGCAGTCTTCGATTGCAGCTTTATACAAACTGCCATGCAGCTTCTCGTAAGGCTGTTGGCCATTATCGTCGACCATGCTGGGGTCGCGGCTGCGTTAATTCGGGGCCCGAATTGGTTCGACAGGAGTGTCTCAATTATCGCGTCTTGGAGGCGTTGGTCGATGCATTGGGCCGGAACGTGGGCCTGCATCGACCCGTGGGCGGCAAAGACCACATGTGAGAGGGTGGTGTGACCCGACAGTTTGGTTGCGCTTCAGCTGCGGTCTCGCGCCAACTGGAAGGAGCAAATGCGCGGCAAATGTGTGTCTCGGCCTCCTTCTGTTTTCGTGCTTTCCCTCGAGGTGCATTGTCGCCGGCCACCTCTTTGGACCATCAGTCGGTTTGTGTTCGTGGGAAAGAAACACCTTGAACCTCCGTTTGTGATCGGGGTCGCCAAGACCGGCGATGTCGCAGATAATACATGTAAGCGGACTTGGTAATTCTCGCGTTTGCTCCTTTCCGTCTTGGGTAAAATCTCTGCGCTTTCATCACATCAATTCAATAGGTCGGATGGTGTAGTTGGTTATCACGTCAGTCTAACACACTGAAGGTCCCCAGTTCAAACCTGGGTTCGATCATCTTTTTGTCATTTTTCTTCCTCGACTCTGGCTCTCGAGCTTGCCAGTTTCTCTTATTGTCTTTCTTTCTTTTTGGATTAATGTGAAAGTAAAAGAGAGCAAAAACACTGGGGATTTTGTTGGTGAACTCTGAAACCTTCGAGGTATTCAATGCTTTCGACCCAAGGAGTGAGGTGTCGAACCGCTCCGAACCCAAGAACGCACCAACTCGCATGGTTGAAATCGAAATTACATTGAAACAAACTCCGAGGGGGAACTGTTGTATCAAAGGTCCCAGGGCTCAGGGCAAGTCAGGAAGCACGGTTGTCCTTGCGGACCAAAGTGGTGAAGATGGCGTTATTTTTCGCAGATTGCCCTCCACTTCGGCAATCCTTCCCTGATCTATCTCTTCTCCCACATTACGACCGTGATGTAACCGGTATAGAAGCATCTGATCACCGATCTCGGGCCAGTCGTTGGGCGTTTGCCGGTGGTACCAGTCCCGCGGACGATCGCGTTGTTTTCTTTCATGGCGATCCCGAAAGATGTTGAAATTCATTGATACATATGGGTCCCAGCGCCAGCGATTTGCTAGTGTAGCAGTGATTGGAAGTGGACATGGTGTCGCGTTGTCCTCGGGTCCGAGTAGAAAACTGATCAGCGCATCGTACTGTTCGGGAGTCGGTGGATATATGGTTCTTGGTCCGTATGCACGGCTCCCATGTAGATACATGTCTCGGCACTTGGGGCTCAACATGTCAGCAGGATTCATTCAAGGGGACTATCCAGACTCAACCTCACCTCTGTTCCTGACTCTCCTCGGTCGAATAGTATGACGCCACCAAAGATCCTGGCCTCAGCCCAGTAGCCCACAAGATCTGCAAGGCCGTTGGGGTACTGATCAAAATCCTGGTAGTTGTTGTGATAGAATGGCGTGTGTCCTCGATAGACTATCAGGCGGCCGAGTAATTCCTGTCCTGGCTTGTCTCGCCAGTCCTCGTAGACTTGGTGTTTGTGAATTCCGTCGTCAAGATTCCAGAGGTAGACTGCGATGTTGTGGCAAGCGACTGCTAGAATCTCCATCAATCGCAGCTCAAAGCGTTGAGTGCCCACGGGGGAGCGCTGAAATGCGGACAGCAGATCGGGCGCGAAGTTGAGTGTTGCCAGGTCTAGCTTGTCCCTCGCGCTCCGTACCCTCTCGATCACGCCGGGACACAGCTCCGTGTGGTTTAGCAGGAATGCAGGATGTGAAGAGCCTTGGTAGTTGCCATGGAACTCGCGAAACGATGCGGTAGCTGGCAGCCCGTCGAGAAGCTCTGCGAATGCAAGCTCTGTCACCTCCGCTGAGAGAATCCTGGAGAGCGCGGTTCTGAGAGCATTGCTGTGTTCCGCGTCGAGCGCATCGATGCCACTCAGCTGATGTTGGCCAAAAGCGGATGACATGGTATGTGAACAATTGTCGAAAAAAAGAGCGCAGAATGCAAGAAGCTAGAGTTGACCATCGATAATATTCAGGGTTGAAGCGATGGATGCTCCGACTTGGCAGAGTGAGAGGAGGAAAGTTGCGGTTTGCCGCCGAAAAACCCTGTTGTGGTTCGGTTGGCGCCGATTGGTGTCACTAACGGCCGGCGTTTGCGGGGTGCTGCTTGGATTGCGGCTACCGCAAGGGCCTGAACCGCGCTGCCGGGACCAACTGACCTCTCGCATATCGACAATTTGCCGCGCGCCGTGTTTCGGCCTGGAGCTCCACCTCTTCATCGGAGTCGTCACAGGGGTGATTTCCTCTGTCCGCTCAACCTACACTGCCAACAGCACGCTCTTCTGTCTCATGTCGCCATGGCCCCTGCCGGCTCAGGCAACAGGCCACCAACAGCGAGGGCCTTAGACCAGCAAATGCGAGCATATTCGTTTTTCGCATAAATCATCCCATTGGAAGGCTTTCAGACATTCTTCCACATCTCCGCTTCTTTCCCGTCGTCGCCTGTTGATCAGAGCTCTAACAATTTGTTTTTGATCTCAATACGTACCATCACCTTGACGGTTCGGTCAGTAGCCTCACGTTGTTGCAGAATATCTGAGATAACACTTTCCGTTGTTTGCGACTTCCAAATCCGCTTCTACCGACATCCTCACAATGACTGCTCCTCCAATTAACATCGGTGGCATCTGTGGACTTTCTATCAACCTCCAAAACGGGACTGATGAGACCCGTGAAGTTGGGCAGCCTGCTCTCCTCCCGAAGGAGGCAAACTCTCTGACGTACAGCACAGTATGTCCTGTCCACAAGAACCCCTTTAACTTTCCTTTTTCCCGTCTGACTCTACAATACAGCTCTCTGCAGCCATCAACATTGGTAGAGATATTGGAGACTCGTCAGGGCCGGCAGACACTCGCAGAAGTCGGCAACGAAGTCGTACAATGGTGGTACCAGAGAGGCGATCACCACTTTGGTGGAGATATCCGTCACATGGACGCATACGTCAACCATTTCCTGGGCATGGTCCGGAGCGACTTCCCTCTAGTCATCGTATCAGGGATGGATGTGGACATCATTGCCGCCGCAAAGCGTCTTCCAGGACTCTGGGATGGAGATCTCAGTGCTTACAGGCCGAAAGACGCCGGGGGTCTACATTTCAACTACAATGTGAGCGAGCCCAATGATTCTCGGTTGTCAATTCCGGTCTAACTCTATATCCAGGGCGTGGCAGCGATGACCCGAGCAGCCAGTCAGGCTTCAAGCGCAAACACCAGCATGAGATCCCGCTTCGAGTCCTACCTCTTCAAGTTTGCCGTTTCCACCGCCCACGAGCTTGTGCATCTCTTCACCAGTTACTTGGCTCAGAACTCCCTCTCAGAGGAAAGTTACACGCCTCCTGAGGTTACACAATCAGGCTATAATATCCCCATGGTCGACGACTTTGGGGTCATGATTGATAGAGGCGAGTCCGGGCGGCGGTTCGAGAATATACTCTTTGGGGGCACCATGGAATTCTACCGAAATTGGAGCGACGACGACACTCAAGTAAGAACCCCTGACAGGGCGAAAACATCAAAACCAAGAGGTGGTGCAATAAACAGACGGGAGCTAACTCTGCCAAAGTGCGGTATTCCCCATGTTGTCGACTGACAAGCTGTTGCGCGCCGGATCCATCAGGATGCTGTGAGCGAGGTTGTCATTCGTAGGCGTAAGCATAACTGCCAGCACCTGCTCTGTCCACGGGGTCATAGGTATCTGACATCGGCTTTATGCAGAGTACACTTTCCCCTTCCAAACCACAGGCAAAGCACACACGCTGCAAGATCGCCACAACGCGAGGCTTCAGTGTCTGGGAGCAAGTCAAGCGGCCGGCTTCACGGTGCCGACAGGTATGTAGTGCTTATTCCGTGCGCTCACTAGAGACGCTGACATTTTTGGCAGGTATGCTGCTCATGGTGGCACGCCAGGAGTTCCCACGCTGCCGATTTTACAACATCTCGCAAGCTGAACTCCATGGCGTAGTTCGTCGGCCAAGAGGTTTCCGAGAGGCAGTTCAAGTAACATACGGTTGATTGGAAAGAGAAACACCGGGGTAAAATCTGCAGCAACAGATAATAATCAATGGATACATGTCAAAATGAAGTGCAATAGCGTGCACTTCCAATATCGCCCCAATACTGTCCCTCTTCCAAGCCCAAAGAACGAGCACTTCCGCTACGTCCAAATAACCTCATGACCTCCCGAAGAGGACATGAGGACACAAGCAAAAAGAAACTGAAACTCTCCCGCCGGGAATTGAACCCGGGTCTCGAGCGTTATCTTGGATTGACAAGCTCACATACTGACCACTATACTACGGAAGATTTGCTCAGGTGGACCTGGGCCGTAGAAGAAAGTTTGCTCGGATACGGGGAGTCGAACCCCGGGCTGCTGAGAATCTCGTGTGAGAGTCAGCGATGTTACCGCTACACCATACCCGAATTTGTTGAAGTTAGGGCTCCGAAAATGAGTAGATTAGCTCGTAGATGAAGAGTTTTCAGGGGTGGGGCAAGACAAAGGTGGCGATTCAGCACCTGCATGGAAGGTGGGGGCGGCATTTCTCGCGTGGAAATGGTTCGGCCCGGGCCTCCCGTGGGTTGGGGGTCCTTATCTCGTCTGCAAACAGGCAAACACCAGGCAGTGCTCGAAACCACGAGTCACGTCAAGATGACCCGGATGTGTCGGCTTCCTCATTGCAGTCATCGACTGAAATCGGATATTATTCATTACTATCAGATCATAACTACGTATCCAAGCCTCTCCTCCTCCTAAGCAGCAGGAGCATAGAGGTTGAACCTCCTGAAGGGATCATACTTGTTCTTTAGGGTGAGCAGACGCTGCTGGCGCCACGACTCAAAGCCGTACCACTGCTGGGGCGACTCGTTGCCGTAAGCATAGTTGACATAGGTGTGTAGATCCTGGCGACCGCTGCCCTGGCGGAGGATCTCGCGAAGGTTGTTTCCAACCTGTGCAGCATATGCATCGAGGGACGGGCCGTCGGGAGTGTATTGAAGCAGGGGCGCGATGAGGAGGTTGTCACCACGGAAGGCAAAGGCGCTGGAGGAGGCGCTGATGGACTTGACACCCTGGGTTGAATAGCCCTCGAACATGAAGAGCGAGCCGTGGAAGGGCGACGACGGCAGAGTAGCTGTCTTGAAAGCGTCGTAGACCTCACCCATGGCGGTGGCGTTGAACTTCTCCAGGTAGATGGGAAAGCGGGGGTTGGCAAAGCCGGCCTTCTGGCACGGGGGCGCATCGAGGTTGATGCCCACCCAGCCAGAAATATCACGGTAGCTGCCCGAGGCAGGCTCGATCGAGAAGGGGCCGATGTCGTGGAAGGGCTGAGTGTAGGCCGAGCTGACGGCGGAAACACCCTCCTGGATGATGTACAGGGCGATGACGGGGGCATCGAACCCGGGGATGTTGAACCAGTAGCTCCACTGGATCAGGCCGACGGGCTGGGTACCGTTCTGGAGGAGGTGGTCGTTGACAGCTTGGTACACCTGCTCAACCTTGTCGCCGGTGAACATGATGGTCTCGACGGCCCAGTTGGTGTGGATGCGGGGGTAGGTCTTGATTGTGACCGAGGTGACCACACCAAAGTTGGCGCCGGCACCCTTCATGGCCCAAAAGAGATCCGAGTTGCTGTTGGCACTGACAGTTCGCGCAACGCCATCGGCAGTGACAACCCTCATGGAGACAAACTGGTCACCGATGAGGCCGTAGTGGCCCTGGAGCCAACCATGGCCGCCACCAAGAGCAGGGCCGAGGAACTGTGCGACAAATCAGCAAAGTGCATGGTTGCATAGCGTGAAATCAGGGGAGCTTACCGAAACGCACTCGCAGGTGCCCGAGACGATCTGGCGGTTGGCAGCCCAAAGGGTGTCGACGAGAGCCTTGGAGTTGATGCCGCCTCCGACGGTAGCCGTGTTCGAACCAAGCGAGACCGAGTTCAGCTTGTGCAAAAAGATGGCAATGCCGTCATCCATGGCACCCAGGGTGGTGAGGGAGCCGTGCCTGCCATTGTAGGCGAGGAAGCGGAGGCCACACTTGTTGGCAAACTTGATGGTCTCGCTCACGTCATCCTCGGTAGCGACGCTGATGCCGAATGAAGCCTTCACCATCAATGTCAGTCAGGTCCCGTCGTGTTCCGGCAGTCCTGGCACGTGAAGTGGGTGGCCTTACCGTGGGCGCCTCGAGTTCGGACCATCTCTGCGCCCGTGTGTTGAAGCCAGTCGAGCCCGGGAAGTAGGCCTCAGCATTGTTGGACAGGCACGAGGCAAAGGTGTTGTAGTCAGACCGCTTGCACTTTCCGTTGCCGGCAGGCAGAGTGAAGTTGGACGGGATTGTGAGTGCGGTGGCAGACGCCCAACCGAGGGCAGTCGCGAGGAGCTGGAGCTTCATGGCGGCGGGATTTCTGGGGAAGGTGCCACGTGGGGGACCACAGAAAAGGGGGAATCAAGAAGGAGGATTCGCAGCACACCCATCCACAAAACCAAAGCACTGCAGCTGAACGTGCAGCAGTGGGCTACCTATTATAGGTACAGTCGCCCAGGCGCCAGTCCCAGAAAGCCGGGTCAAAACCCGACTTTCGCTGCAGTCTGCCAGTCTGCCAGCGCCCCGGAAACACATTGCCCCTGCTGAACTCGCATTCTCGCGCATAAATTCGCCCCAAGAACATGCGATGTTCGACGAAAGCAGCTTAGCAATCCCGGCTTTTCATCTCCAGCCAGGCCAACCCATAAACCAGGACCCGCCGCCTCGGCTATGGGCCAGCACGTCAAGATAGTGCTTTCTAGTATCTCGAGCCATTGCTCCATTTTTATGGAGGTGCAGTAGTGGGCTTGGGGCATTGTCTCGGCGGGGTTCCCAGCAACCGACCGGCAAGGTCGGAGAGAATGCTATGGAGACCGCGTCTGGCGGGGAACGAGTTGATTCTGTCAACGTCGCCGTGTTTGAGGGGGTTACAGTGGCTTCGTGGCGTCAAGCTTATAAGTGCTTGACATGCACGATATTCCCACGCTGATGCTGGGAGCCCTTGGATGTCCAGAGAGAGGCTAGAGCCACGATTCGGGGGGATCAGCGCGCATCGGCGAGCGAATGTCGCCATAGCCACGAGGGCAACGTGGGGAATCCTCAGCGATGAACGGCGAACAGCCAAGAAGCTCTTCTGCTGTGTCGATCTTTTCTTTTTTTCTGCGCACCTCCGCAGCGTGCAGGGGAATCACGTAAACAAATCTCGTCAGGGGGTTAGAACAAGGCCGGAAGCTTTTCGATGCAACCCTCGAGATTGGAGTTGCTTGGCTGACTAGCCTGAACGGACATTAACCCCCACTCCCTGTTGCTCCTCACGTCAGGGGCCGGGGTCCCGGGGCTCGGAACCCTTGTGTAGCGCTGCAACATCGTGTAACCACAGACCTGTTTGCATCACAAAAAACTCAAGTGCCACCGAGCTTGGGAATGGTTTCATCACAGCCCTCCATGGGGTAAAAAAAAAAGCGCGGCCGGTGGAAGGAACGAGGTGTGCGCAGGAAGAAGACCAGGACCGGATCGTCACATGCTCAACCTTGTCTGCACTATCACCCCCAACGTCGTCTAGGTAGCCCTTGGCAGGTCCACGACAGACAGCTCTTAGTTTTAGCGCACGGCGTTATACTTGTCACCGACTTGGGTGGCTCCGGCAAGGTTTGCCCTAGCGTTATCTCTGTGCATTGCCACTCCACCCTTACCAACTAAACGACCTTCTCAAACCGGACTAAACGAAAGCCCCCCACCACAACGTGGGACAATAACGGGGACCAGCCCGTCGGCCGCTCTGCCAGAAACGGATCCCGAGGCCAGCGTTGAGACGGCAGTTCTTGTGCTCTGCGCTACGAGATGTCCCGGCATGAGGGCCGTGAAGACGAAAACGGACGGTCCGAGGATGACTTCATGTGGTATCCAATCTCGGCCAACAAGACTCAAAGCTCAGAATGCCGAGAAAACACTAACGAGATGGCGTCTTGACGGTGTCGGCGCCTCTGGTATGTACCATTGAAAGTGCTATCAACACCAAGCAAGTCAAGGGTCAGATTGGAGGAGCGCGTCTCAGGTGGTGGGCTAGGGGGACATCCGGAATGCTCCCTAGCCTCCACCGCCCCCCCCCCCCCCCGCTCCACTGCACTTCTCAGGAGTAGGCCCGCGGCTCCCTCCCGTTTGTGGTATCTCCCGTCGTTTCGGCATGTCCCGAGTGTCCCATCGGCAATTCGACGTTGGGCCAGGTAATGCAAGTGTCGAAAGCTTTGCTGTTTTGTCCATGGGGAATAAGCAAGCAGAAAACGACCCAAGACAAAAGCCAGTCTCGACTATCGACCCCCGCCAACGCACATTGCCCACACGACTCAGCTACCTTGACTTTCTTTTTTTTTTTTTTTTGTCTTTTACCTTTTCTGAGAAGTGACAAAGTTGTGGATCTCGAGTATACAAATGAGCGGCCCCAGTGAGGGAATCCATGGCGTCCTGATCATCATTCGATTTCCCTTTTCTTGTCCAATTTAAACCTTAACCACGTTCCTTCGACCCGATCGACCGCTTCCCCGGATCTCGGCCTCCTACCCGACCCGCACCGCTCTTGAGAAGATCTGGTTCAATGTCAGACACGGCGGCGCCACTCAGCCCCGAGGAGCTGGCCGCCATCGCGGCTGCTCAGGCGGCGGCCCGCACTTTCAACATCACATTATGGACCCTCTACGCGTTTGGCGTCATGGTGACAGCCCTGAGGATGTATGCCCGCGCCAAGGCAGTGGGTTGGAAACGACTTGAGGGCGATGATTACCTGGCACTTCTTGCCGTCGTACGTTTTTTCGCCTCTTCCTCTCCTCCTTGGAAATCTCCAGGGCCACTGACCAACGTACGTACACAGGTTCTGTACTCGGTGCAAAGCACACTGGGATATCAGATCGGTAACCTCGCACGGGGTTTGGCAAACAACGGCATGACAGACCTCCAGCGACAAAACCTCCTTCCCAGCAATCCCGAGTTCGACATGCGAGTCATCGGCTCGCAGATCCAGGTCGCCGGATGGACCTGCTACAGCACCCTGATGGCCGTCCTCAAGTTCTCCATGTTGGTGTTCTACCTCCGTCTGACCAACGGTCTCAGCCGCAACTACCGGAACCGAGTTCACATTGGCTTCGCCCTTGTCCTGGCGGGCTATCTGGCCTCCGTCTTGACCACCTTCGCATCCTGCAGACCGTTCCATTGGTACTGGCAAATCAACCCGGACCCGGGCAACGCCTGCCAGGCCGCTGTCTCCAGGCCCATTGTCTGGTCTCACTTTGTCGCCAACGTCACATCCGACATCTACCTCATCGTGATCCCTCTTCCTCTCCTTTGGGGCTCAAGGTTGCGTCTCGTCGAGAAGATTGCCTCGACCTTCGTCCTCGGAGCCGGCATCTTCGTC